AGAAGAAAACATAGAGAAAAAGCTCCTTGACATTGGTCTTGGCAGTGATTTTTTCAAAATGACACCAAAAGCACAAACAACAAAGGCAAAAATAAGTGGGACTACATCAAACTAAAAAAGCTTCTGCACAGCAAAAGAAACAGTGAAAAAAAAAAAAAAAGAAAAGCACACACACACACACAAAAACACTGAAAAGGCAACCTATGAAATGGGAGAAATTATTTGCAAACCACATGGTTTGTGCTGCCGGGTGCTGCCACTATGGAAAACAGTATTGAGGTAACTGATAAGGGGTTAATATCCAAAATATACAAGGACTCACATATTTCAATAACAAAACAAACAAACAACCTGAATAAAATATTGGCTGAAGATCTGAATAGACATTTTTCCAAAGAAGACATACAGATGCCAATAGGTAGGTACATGAAAAGGTGCTCAACGTCACATCAGGGAAATGCAAATCAAAACCACAATGAGATCACCTCACACCTGTGAGAATGGCTATTATCAAAAAGACAAGAAATAAGTGTTGGTGGGGATGTGGAAAAAGGGAAACCCTTGTGCTCTGCTGGTGGGATGTAGACGGGTGCTGCCACTATGGAAAACAGTATTGAGGTTCCTCAGAAATGAAAAATAGAACCATCAAACTTTGAAGGAAATGAAGACAAGAACTTGAAAAAATATATGCATCCCAATGTTCACTGCAGCAGCATTTACAATAACCAAGACATGGAAGCAACCTAAGTGTCCATTGATGGATGAATGGATAAAGAAAATGTGGAATATACATACAATGGAATATTAGTCAGTCATAAAACTTAAGGAAATCTCGCAATTTTCTACAACATAGATAGACCTTGAGGACGTTGTGCTCAGTGAGGTAGGTCAGGCACAAAAAGACAAATACTGTATGATCTCACTTATATGTGGAATCTTAAGGAAAAAAAATGAACTCAGATACAGAGAACAGATTGGTGGTTGGGGTGTGTGTGTGTGAAATGAGTGAATGAGGTCAGGGGTACAAACATCCAGTTATAAAATGAATAAGTTCTGGGGATGTAATGTACATCATAGTGACTAGTTAAGGTAACTGTATTGTATATTTGAAGGTTGTTCAGAGAGTGAATTGTAAGAGTTCTTATCACAAGAAGAAGAATTTGTAACTATGTGTGGTGATGCATGTTAAGCAAACTGATTGTGATCATTTTGTAATATATATAGATATCAAATAATTATGTTGTACCTGACACTAATATAATATTATATGTCAATTACCTCAATAAAAAACCCCAGTACCCATATGATATATGCCCATTATATGATATATATATATCAGTGAAGAGTATAAAAAGTAGGAAATGAAAATTTCCTCAGAAATTCCCACCTTTCAGAGATAACCATTGATAATAGTAAGGTGTATATCCTTCCAGATTTTCAGGATATGTATGTGTGAGTATATATTTTTCTATACAAATATCAATACATGCCGTTCTTTCATATCTTTTAAAGCTTCAGGATAGAGATATATTGAATGGATGTACCATAATTAAATTAAAATTCTCTTTAAGTGGAGGAAAAAAATACATCTAAGGAAAGATGTGCAAGACCAGTACAGTGAAAATTATAAAAGATTTCTGAGAAAAAATACAGAAGATCTATATAAATTGAGGGATATATCATATTTACGTATTGGAAAACTCAACTCAATATTATAAAGAAATCAATTCTGCCCACGTTTTTGTCTATGGATTTAATGCGATTTCAACCAGAATTTCAGCCCTCCCCCATTTTTTTCTTGGGGGAGGGTGCAAGCTGATTTTGAAATTTATATGGAAATATAAAGGAATAGCTATGGCCATCTTAAAGAAGAACAAAGCTGGACAACTTGCATTACCAGATATTAAGACTTAAAGCCAGAGTTCCTCAAAACAGTGAGATATTTGTGTAAGTACAAACACATCAATAAAATAGAGTCCAGAAACAGTTTATATATATATATATATATATACTGTCACATATACAAAATTACAATGTCTCCCCCATCAGAATGGCTAAAATGAGAAAGACAGACAATACCATGTATCAGTGAGGATGGAGCAAACTGGGACTCTTATGCACTGTTGGTAAAAAGGTAAGCTGTTACAATTACTTTGGAAAACTGAAGTAGCTACTAAAGTTGAACATATGCATATATCCTGTGTCCCAGAAATTCCACTTCTAAGCACATACCCAACAGATCTGTACATATGTCCATTCAGACATACATAAGAATGTTCATAGCAACATTATTCACAATAGCCCCAAATTTGAAACAAACCAAATATCCATCAAAAGGATAATGGATAAAGTTGTACTATATTCACATATTGGAATACTATTATATAGCAATAAGAATGAAAGAATTACAATTATATGCAACATTATGGAAGAATCTCATGCTCATAATGTTGACTAAAAGGAGCCAAATATAAAAGAATATGTGTGTGATTCTATTTCTTAAAAGTTTGAAAAAAGGCAAAACTAACATGTGGTGTTATAGTGAGGATAGTTGGGCTGGGGTGTTGTATCTTGAAGAGGATATCAGAGGGCTTCTGGGGTCCTGGTAATGTATATTACTTGGTCTGGATACTGGTTTCAAGGATGTGTTCATTTTGGGAAAATTCACTGAGTCATACATTTATGATTTGTGCAGTTTTCTGTATGTATGTTACACTTCAATAAAAAATTACCAAATTATTCAGATTATCACAATTCAACTTCTCTGGCAACTCTTGCTTTTTAACTATGTTGACGGCTACTATGTGTGATACTTTTTTACAGAGTGTCCCATGTAACAGAACTACTTCTACTTAAATACTCCTTTGATACCTTACATAATTTGCCCTCTTGCTTGCATCAAAGAGCTCCTTTGAAACCCAAAAACTTAATTACTTTCTGCTTTGGGAAAAGTTTGAGAGAACAGTTGAATTAAATTGAGGGAATTTGAGAAAAATTAGCTTTCCCCAGCATGATGTGGGCTCTAAGGAAGACCTAGGCAGAGTCTATGATGAGGAAACAAGACACTCTTTCCTAATTCCGTTTGGAATTGTGAGTGGAAGTTACCCCAGTTTTCTGGAACAAAAGTGGAGTAGAACATTCATTTAAGATGTTCACCTCTTGATTGTTACTGTTATTACTGAATGATGTCTTTGTCAAGGGATAGTAACTGAAGTCAAAGTGTAAGGCTTGAAAAAGGCTGAAAAATGGGGAGTAACAGGGTTTCAGTGAAGAAAAGATATTTGCTAGAAATGAGGCAGGGCTCAAAGTGGGGAAACACCAAGCTCTCTGGCTAGGAATTATCAGCTGGCCACAGTAACCTGATCAAAGAATACACAGGGCACAGGACACATTTTGGTGAATTGTGGAGTTTCTTCATTTTTCTGAAATTTCATGATAATCTCTTCACATTCCTTTTCACTCTTAGTAAATTTGAATAGCTTTAAAATGCAAAAATGGCCTTTATTATATCTGATACCCTGATGGAAAAGGCAGAGTACATGACAACTAAGGAAAATTCCCATAAAATTTGCTACGAATTAACCTCTTCCTGTGTTTTCCTAAATGGCTGGAGGGGTAGGGATGGAGAATATTTGTATCCCCATTATATAACATCATAATTCCTACTAAGATGGCATGGTTTCATCATTTAGTTAAAGGTAACTTCACATAATAAATAGAAATTACACCTACCTCACAGAGTTGTGGCGAGTATTAAATTAGTTAATATCTGTAACTTAGAATAATACCTGGCCCACCGTAAGCATTCAATAATTACTAGCTATTGTTGCTGTTTAGAGGCTCGTCAATATCCTTAGCAAGTAACAAGATACAGTGATAAGTCAACTGCAGTTCTTATTCTAATATTGTATTAAGAGGGAGTATTCCTTATCCATTAGGAATGGAGATTTGAAAGTGGTCTTTGCATCTTTTTGGTTTGATCAATTTGGACTTCTTTCAGGGTTGGGAAAGGAGAACAGAATTATCTTTCTGGTAAGTAATTGTCAGCTTTGGTATTTCGGTTCAGAGCTATCCTGGCCGCATGGCTTTGAGTTCTTCAGTACCACCTTGAAGATTGGGCTCTGGTGGTGATGTTAGAGAAGCTGATAGCTGCTCCCTTTGGCTATAAACAGCATTACAAAAACAAAGCACAAGATGATCTATCAGTGGAGAGGCTTATTATAATATTTTCAAGCAACTTACAAAGTAGAAATCTTATTGAAACTTCTTTGTTTCATAGGAGTTCCCCAAAGAAATGAATTCTATTACAGTTCTGAGGATCCTCTGCCTAATCTAGGAATAGGAAATATCAAGAGGAATAGGAATTGGGATGTCCAGAGATCAATTCTTCCAGGTTTAGTTACATTAGAAAGACTGAGTTTAGGGGAAAAAAGCTCATGTTGATAATACAATTGTTTTTAAAAACTATCATTTTTCTATATTATAAAGTTTTGAATGGACCTTTAGATTCATTTTAGGCTTCTGATTTGTCTTCTTTGGAAGACTACACTGTAAAATGACTCTAATGGCTTCTAAATGAAAACAAATCACCCATCAAACCTAAAAATCCCATTTGAAGTACTTTGATATAGGAGAGAATTCTTTTGAGATATGACATGTCTATGTGTATAAACAAAGAATTATATAAGTTCCTGTGTTGGTTAATTTTAGTAACAGCACTGACGATGATAAATTTTTTTCCTCAAAATCTTATGAAAGGAACAATGTCCTTTTTGGTAAATGGTGATTAATCAGTAATTATCAATTTTCATATTAATATGATTCCAACTTATATATCCATATTGTACTATTTATCCAGTCTTAGTTTTTAAAAGACACTGTCTTTACAAAGAAAGTAATTTAAATTAGCCAACTGTGCCCTACAAACATAAATAGAAATGATACTGAATAAGTATTGATTAAAACAAAAAGCACGTAAAAAAAACAGCATTAATTCTTACCAACTCCAGAGGTTATTGATTCTGCATCAATGTCACTAGCTTTTTTTCTTGCCACTTCAGCTAGTGCCAATTCACCCTTATCTAGTGCAAGGTAATGGATGTCCTTTGGAAATAAAGGGAAAAAAAGAGATTAATCCCAAATGAATCTTGGTCAAGTTACAAAGGAGATTTTAAAAGAAAGAACTTATTGTTCAGATTACAAAACAGACATGGCTGATGAATATTCTTTTTTGTACTTTAATTTTCTCAGTTTTCTTTTCTACTACAAGCAAATTTTCTTGAATTGCAGACCATAGCTGTAACTAATGGCAATTATTTAAATAAATTATTTTAAGTCTTTAGGGGAAAAAGACAAGTTTTTAAATGAAATGTTTGACATAGTTTTGTCAGGGAATAAAAGCTTTAATTGATATTTTCATTGGTGAGATTTTAATATCTGAGAAAGCTTCTTCAAAATTCAACTGTATATTATGCTAAGCATTTTACAAGGAATACTACTGCACAAATTTGTTTATTTATGGGTCTGGCACATATTACTTTATTAATATTACTACTAGTATTATTTTGAACTCACTCAGTTAACAAGTAATCAGTGTCTACTAATTGCCAAGCACTGTTCTGGAGTATAAAGATCAATTACAATACCATGTCTCAAGAAGCTTTGAGCCAAATGGGCAGACAGACCGTTGTAAACAACAGTTAAGAGCATTAACAATGTGATAGGTTTTATGGCAGATATTTACAGAGTGCTGTGGAGCCTAAGAGGAGGAACTGATCCTGATCTGAGTCTTGAAAGGTAAATAAGACTAATACTAGGAAGGAAAAATGGAGAAAAGGTGACAGAGAATGAATGATATCTGGTGCATATATGTAGAGAAGCTTGAAAAAACACAATTCTGTCACACAATGGCAGGTCTTTCAATATAGAAGGAATGTAGGACGTGTGGCAGAAAGCAGTGGAAAATAATACTAAACAGGTAGAGCCATTAAAAAGGACTTAGAACTCTTTTTGGTACATAGAATGATTGTTAGAATAGAAATTTTATTGCAATAAAAATGGACAAAGGGATATAAACAGCCAGTTTACAATTAAGAAATACAAGTGGCTTATAATCATGAAAACATATTTTACTTTATTAATATTCAAATAAGTGCAAGTTGAAAAAATGTAATTTCAGATTGGATAAGTTTTTTAAAGTTAACAATACTTACTGGTTGCAAAGTTTGGGGGGAAACAGGCACTTAAACTTACTGGGAGCATGAGACTTTATGAAGCAGGGTTCAGTAAACTATGGAGTATGTGTCAAAGTAGCCTGCCTTTTGTATAGTCCTTGAGTTGAGAATGGTGTTTACATTTTTAAATGGTTAGAAGAACTGTGCTCTTATTTAACTCTGAATGGCTTTGGAATTCATTTATGATGAAGACTTGAAAATGTTTCAACACAAAACTACAAGGCAGAACAGTACCTATATGTGAAACTTAATACTGTGATAAAGTCATTTCAATGAAAACTAACACTGACTTACAAGTAATGTCAGGCCGTGTCATACACTTCCTGCACTGTCAAAATTTTTTTTTAAAAGGTGAGATCTCCTACACAAATTGCCAGCAATGTATTTTCCAATTTCAATCAACAGCAGTATTTTTCAAACTTGATCCAAGTGCAAAGGAAATTTTCACATTCCAAAGTCTATTTAACTGTGCAATTGAGGAACTCTAATTGGAAGTGATTAATTTGCAATGTAATGACATGCTAAAAGGCATTCTAGTCTTTTAGCTAATAGAATTCTAAAAATGCCTTCTAATCGGTGAGTATGCTCAATTAAAACCATATGCTCATGGATTTATATCAACATTTGGCAGTACCTATCTATGAGGAAAGATATTTGCAAAGGTGAAATATGTAAAATTTCATCTTGATCAGCATGAACAGATGAACATTTGTAATAGGTTTTGATAAGAACACCAACTCCAACCCAATTAAGTGAAATGTTACCCCCCAAAATAATTCTATTATTCACATTTGTAGATCTGTATTATGAAAATTGGACTCAATTATTATATTTTTAATTTCATCAATAAAGATTTCTGAAATTTGTTTTCTCTCTTGTTATATACAAGTACCTATATAATAACCTCAATTTTGCCTCTTGGCCCACAAGCCTGTAATATTTGCTATCTGGCAGAAAAAGTTTGCTGATTCCATATTTTAACAATATATCAGGATTTAAAATTTGCATGTATATAGTTTAAGGAAATAATATGACAATGTATGTCCAAGATTGGTGATGACAGCATTACTTATAATTGCTAACAAGTCCTTGACTGCTATTAAAGTTATACTAGCCTTATAAAATAAGTTAGGTGGCAGGTGGCTGTGTCACGCAATGGATAGTGCGCCTAAAATAAGTGAGGTGGCTTTTTTTTCTATTTTCTCTTCTCTGGCACAATTTGCATATGATTCTTCACTGAAAATAAGCAAAAGATGTGTAATACATTTGAGAAGAAATTACCAACCATTTCTGAGTGACATAAGTGAACACCTGATTAAGATACAGACATATACCTGCTTACGGCTAGAAAGACTATGCATCATAAAGCTATCAATTCTGACCCCAGTAATCTGTAAAACTCAGTGGAATTCCAAACAAAATCCCTTTCAGGCTTTTCATGGAACTTGACAAGTTGATCTTAAAATTCATATGTCAAAGCAAATAGTTAAGAATCTCCAAGCTTTACTCTAGTTAACATTAAGACCATTTAACACTGGTACACAGGCATATAAACCAAAGAAAAAAAGAAACACACCCATACAAATATGGTTTTCTTTGTGAGATACTAATGTTAGTACGTTATGTTTAACAGTGATATAAGTATTGGCTATAAAATCTATGCTCCACAAGTTATTTCTGGAACATTTTCTCTCTCTTATTCTTCCTTAATTCTGTGATTTTTCCTCTGTACTTTTTGATATAGGGAACTGTCATTAATTTGAAAACATTAAGCCTTAACAGTTCTTAAGTTGATATTATATCTATACCATGAATGTTTGCATTCTTAAACTTTCTGTGTGGAAACACTATACAGTCTATTTACTTGCTGATAGACTTGTGGGCCTCCTAACTGAATGTGGTCTTTAGCAAAATGCAGTAGAGAGTATATCTCTGTAACTGCATGTCCCTCAGTTTGCAGAGTCCATCAATCTTTAGCGTCTGATGCAAGACATATCTAGTATCTATATCACGTCCCAATTGGCTGTTGTCTGCCTTCATCTACTTTTAACTTTTAGATAGTGTTAGTGTTGAAATTTAGTTTAAATGTTGGATGTATACAATTAAAGATGTTCATATGCTTCTGGGAAATGGTCATATTCTAAATGAGTCAAGAAAATAAAAGCCACTTGGCTTTATATTTCATTTTCATGTCTTCTACCTGACTAGGGCAACACATACAAAAATAAAGGACATGTAGTAAAGCTGTTTGAGACTGACTAAGGCAAAGGTACTGTTAAATCATACTACAATAAAGACATTCCAAGAGGCCCCTACCAGGGTAGTCATGCCCTTTCACTCATCCTGATTTCAAATTTAATCAATAGCTATTAATCAAAAATTATTCCATAAATATGGAATGTTTATTATGTGCCAGATGCAGAGGTGAATTTACCAAAGCTAATAAACTTAAACTTCATTGCCTTAGTTATACATGTTCTTTCCAGTACCTAATTTTGTATTTGAAATTTTAAATTCTTGTTCTTAAATTGTATAAGCTTCAAGCCTTATAAAACATGGATCTACCCTTGGTACCCAGCCATCAAGGTTCTCACATACTAGTGGACTGCATTGCCACATGCTTAGTTGTTTAGAATCATGTCTGAGGGGCCAGCCTGGTGGTGTAGTGATTAAGTTCAAGCACTCCTCTTCTGTGGCCTGGGGCTCGTGGGTTTGGATCCCAACCATGGACCTATACACTGCTTATAAAGCCATGCTGTGGCAGCATCCCACCCACAAAAAGTAGAGGAAGATGGCACAGATGTTAGCTCAGGGACAATCTTCCTCACCAAAAGAAAAGAAAAGAAAAGGAAGCATGTCTGGGAGGCACAAGGAGACATTGTAAGTTGTACAGTCCTTTTTTGTTTTGTTGGTCTCTTTGTGGAGACTTTCTGTATAAGATTAAAATGGCATATAGCAAATCTAAATGGGCAACATAGATGGCAATAATTTTTAAAAGTATCATATTGATAAATCCTAACTTTTATTGCCACCCAACCAGGGTTACCTAATTGGTGGATGGTTTTCTTATAAACGTCTTACTAATCTGGAAGCAAGTTTTCAGAAAAATAGAAGAATGAACCACTTACTTTCTGTCATTCTCAATGACAATATTATCATTTACCATTTGCCAAATTGACTTATATTAGTATCATCTTTTAGCACTATTAAGTGAAGTTGACCTCCACTGAACAAAAGATGACACTGATAGCCTTTGGCCATGAACCAGGTTTAAAAATTTAAACATATTCTGTCTGTTATCATCTGAGACCTAAAATAAAAAAACTTGCTGTTCTTGAGTTCTCATTACCTTTCACAAATGACTTTTGAATGTACGACTGGAATGAATATGCAAATTTACAACAAAAATTATTTGAAGATAAAAAATCTTGAATATATTTTCATCTATAAATCATATTTTGGATCAGTCATTGAAAGATAACTATTATACCATATTAATATTTTAACTTTTTCTAATTTTTGTAATGTTTCTGGGGATTGATAGGTTTGATATAGATATAGAAACACTTACAAAGGCATGCAATAGCTTATACATATTTAAGATTACCATGTTCTAGCCCTCCTTGCTGTAATATTTTACTTAATTCAAAGCAATTGATAATAGAAAATTAAATTAATAATCTACAGCTTTACAAGTTTCTAAGACTTGTCCAAATTGCTTTGAAAACATTCAAGTTCATGCTGCTTGGGGCCAGCCTGGTGGCACAGCAGTTAAGTGCGCACATTCCGCTTCAGTGGCCCACGGTTCGCTGGTTCGGATCCTGGGTGCAGACACGGCACCACTTGGCAAGCCATGCTGTGGTAGGTGTC